AGTCATTCAACCCTGCAAACAGGCCAGCCATCTGTTGGCCGTGATGTTCAGCTGGGATTTTGGGAGATCAGGGTGTGAAGTTGAATCCTAACAAATTTTTATTTTTATTTTTATTTTTTTTAATTATTGCAGGGGAGATCCAGCCCTACAGTGGTTGGGTGGCCCTGCACGAGGATGAGGGAATGGGAACTCGACCCTGGAATGGGCAAATCCACAGTGGCCAGTCTATTTCTGGCTGATGGCTGGGCAGTCTCTCGCTGTCCAGATTTGAAAGGTTTTGTGTGGGGTTTTTTTTTTGTGTGTCCCGACGCAGAATAGGCAAACGCTTTAAATCACTTTTCATTCTGACCCAAGAAACAATTTCCTACGAGCTCAACCCTGAACAATAGAGCCTTGATCTTGATAGGGGGGCTCTGGATGTTACTGTAATGCTAATATGTGGCGCGGTTGGCCTTTGCGCTTCTGGCACATTTCAGGCACTATATAGGGAGTCTGTAATCAGCTGCAAAAAAATTCCCTTCTGTCTCTCTCCTAGCAACCCCTTCTGAACTGATATTTGAAAATAAGCTTGCTTTCCATATCATCATCTAAATATTTTCGACGCTTACTGTCATTAAAATTCTCCTAATAGTCTTGGGACTAAGATAATTTATCTTCAGGTCCTCAGGACTCCCTTCTGGTTTCTGTGGTCTTAAGGTAAAGCTTTTGAACTTTCTACTCGTTAGAAACCTGACTTGTATCCTGATTTTTCTCTTGACTTTTACGCTGGCTCTATTTGACACAAAGTCAAATTAGTAGACTGAGATGATAGAGATAAAAGCAGGAAGGCCATAAGTCGCCTAGACTAGTGGTAGGAGCAAGCTGAGAGCTTTGAAAGAGATTTGGTTGTATTTTTATTAAGCATTTTAGCGCGTGTGATGTGTTCCGGGCTGGTTTTGTAGCTCTGTAATCTTGACTCAATCTACACATGGTGTAGCTGTGCAGTGGAAACAAGGCACGTAGCTCATACCAGTACAAACCACTTGGTTGCCACTAGAATCAAGAACCTTAAAGTCTTTATCCATCACCTGCTCGTTCCCCTTCTGCAAATCTGAATAATGAAGAGTGGGGTGACAGAGAGCATGGGGGATAGAGGAGTTCATCTGGACAGAGCAGACTAAAACAAGGTGAGGGGTTTGTGGTCTATGTGGTGACAGAGAGCGTGGGGATCTCTATCATCTGGACAGAGTAGACTAAAACAAGGTGAGGGGTTTGTGGTCTTCCCCATAAATGCTGTCTGTGTCTTTAAAGTCCTGAGGACTTTCTGCACAGATTTACATCAGTAGCTGATGAAGGAGGTGGATGGGAATCCTGGACCTGAACGTAGATATCCTAGGAGAAGTGTGTGGGGGCTGCTGTGAACAGGCTGGTCACCTTCACTGTGGAAATCTTGCTCCAAATCCTCTTTTTTTTTTTTTTTTTTTTTTTTCCTGGGGCTTCCTGAAGCTGTACTCTGGTTTCTGAAGACCAGGAGCATTTCTCCTTCCTGGGAGCTACTGGGGCTTTCTGCAGGATCTGGCACCAGTCCCTGTCTAGCTCTGAAGGCAGGAAGAGGGGGTTTCTTGTGTATTAGGCACAACTGGGTTCCTTAAGTCTTGTGAGTCTCCAAAATGGCAACTCTTTCTCGATTCTGAAACAGCTGATTAATTGCTGGTGTGTTTGGAATAGGATTCATTTGGGATTTGGTTGTAAGACTTTTTGCCTTATGGAAAAAATCTGACTGAGCTGAGAAAATAGTTGGGTCAGAGCCTGCGTTCTTTACTCGGTGAAACATTGCCCTCAGCCATGGTGGAGCTTTTTCCGGGAACGTGGTCCAGAAGGACTATCCTCCAAATGTTTCAGGTCCCTTGTGCTGATAGAGGGTTCCCTGGTACGGCTTCGGGGGATGGAGAAGCCTTGAGGAGTCTCTTCCTGGAGTCTCAGCTTGTGCAAGAAATGTTTCCCTTTCTGAAGACTTCCTGGAGATGGAAAGAGCTCATGGAATATAAATGTTCTCTTTTTTTAGTTTTTTGTAGTTGCTCCCACTGGTGCTCTCAGTCATTTGCTTCCTGGAGATGGAAAGAGCTCATGGGATATAAATGTTCTCTTTTTTTATAGTTGCTCCCACTGGTGCTCTCAGTCATTTTCTTGGTGGGATTTCAAGGTTTCAGATTCCTGGGTGTGCCTACCTTTAGAGAAAACTTGGTGGAGAGGGGAAGATGGTTCACCCCACTTGTGTTAGAAAATTGGGGCTCACGTAGAACTCGCTTTGTGCCCAGGAAAGAGGGATTTCCCCAGCTCCCTCGGTTCTGCTAATGCATTTCCAGAGATTTTGCCTGTGTTGATAACGAGGGCTTTATTGCTGAAATCCACTTTGTGTTCAGTCTGTCCCCAAACTCTTGTATCGTGTTAATAAACGATGCGGTTGTTCCCAAATGCAGCATCCACATCCCTTTCATACTCACTTCATACATACTCACTTGCTGGGGTTTTTTTGTAGGAATTGTAGGCCCTTGCCACAACAGGGAGAATAAGCAAATGTAGCACCACATTGCTTACTAGTATTTTTTTTGAATTTGGGAACGCTAGGACTGAATCTGAGTGCAGAAAGCTCTGCTTTAATTTATGGTTGGTATTAACTCGCGGAGCCGAAGAGCATATAAGCTGCAGCTGCTCAGGAGCTCGCTCTGAGATCTGGCTGGGAGAGCTGTTTTTTATTAAGTGGTACTTGATTTAGCCCTAAGTAAAACCATTTGTATTTAACCTGATCCGCGAAGCTGCTGTAAGTGTTAACATACTTCAGTATTAAACGTTTCACTCTGGGGCATCATCATACACGGCGGGTTTGTGTAAGAAAGAGCCCCGTTTCTGAACCTGAAATAGTTATCCCTTAGGATGAGCATGTACATTTTCAAACTCAATGGAGCCTATATTTAAAATTTACTGTCACGGTCCTGGGTGAGGTGAAAAGATCTGGTGACGAGTGTCAGGTCTGAAACAAGCTGTGATACTTCGGTGCGAAGCTACTTTTGGGAAACCTGTGGGGACATAACTTATCCCAGAGATGCCCCTTGGCTTTTTGGCAGAGAAATCCCTTGCTCTTGGGGCAGTTAAGCATCGATCTGCCCTTTGTGAGCTGCTCTTGGGTGGCTGCCAGGTGCAACGAGCCACTTGCCATTTAACTGTAGGGCAAAGCAGCTTCTGCTGAACCAAGAAAACTCTGGAGCCAAAACAAACCGCTATAAACTTTTCTCCCTCCCCATGAGAATGAGGGGAAGGAGGTTATTGCGTCCAAACTCTTTTGGAGCTGGCACTGTGGGAAAAACTCTCTCCAATCCGGGACTCATTGTATTTGAGGAACTGTAATAAATCCTGACGGACCCCGCAGATGGGATGTCGGGGTTGAGCTGGTGCTTCTGGATACAGGAGCTGCTTCTCTTAAAGTAGTTCATGATTTACCTTAAGTGGACTTCATGGATCGTAACGTGAAATCGGGGATAGGTCTGACCTGAGATTTATTTATTCCTGGTGGTAGGTCCCAGGGAGTTACATTCCTGGTGGGTTGGAAATACTTAAGTGAGTGTGTATGTGTGTGCCCAGGCACACGAGTGCCTGTTTGCCCAGTGCCCTGAGGGTCCAAGGAGGGGGGGGCTGCATAATTGTTGCAGAGCCGAGAGCTTCCCGGGCAAGTTTTGTGCCTTGAAAGCAGAAAACCTTTTGCATCAGAGTGAAAAATGTTGGTTGTAAAAGGGAATCTGGCTTCAGTTCCTCTCAGCATTTCTGCCAAGCTTGCTGCTGTGATATTAAGGATCTTTTATTAGATATTCTGGGCCTCTGCCCCCTTCTCTCAAATGGGGGCAGCCTCTGTGGTGCTGAGCTGAAGCAGCTGAAGTTCAGGTGGGAATAAACCTTTGATTTTTCTCCTGCTCTTGGTTTTTTTTTTTTTTTTCTGATGCTTCCCTCGTAATTCGTATTAAGATTATTGATTAAAGGTAATTGCTGTAGGATATTATTCGCAATCCATTAACCCTGATTTATAGCCGAATTCTTCAGCAAGCTTGGGTGCTGAAACATCACCATTAATTGCCTTAACTGAGCCTTAACTTGAAATGAAGATTTCTTGCCTTTCTCTTTGTATTCCCTTCTTCCCAAAGCGCCGGAGCTTTGCTTCTTCCTTTTCAATGTGGAGAAATACAGTTGTTCTTTTTGCGCCGTGGCGGTGCCTCATAATCTCGCCCTTCTGCCATCTCGCCGAAGAAGACGCGGAGGTTTTTTGGTCTTGCAAGTCAAATTAACATGAGATTGCCATAATTTGCATTGTAGCTGTGGGAGGCCATCTGACAGCGCCGAAGGCAGCCGAGGAGAATTGAATTCATCAGCTCTCACGTTTGTCAGGGGCTGGGGCGAGTTCTGCTCCTCTAATCTGGGCAGGGGAGTAAACATTTAATGGGAGCAGTTGGCAAGGGCGACTCTCTCTGCTTTGTGGCTCGTCTCCCAAGCGCTGGAAAGACAGAGAGAGAGAGAGATCTCTCTGAGTCCTGGCTTCACCTCTGAGCTTTGCCCCTGGGGTTCGTGTCTGTGTGTGCCGAGGCTTTGGAGCTCTTGCTCTTTCTGGATTTTAGCTGCCCCTCCACAGCCTGAATATGTTTCCAAATATGCTGCTGAACAGGGACTCAGTGTTTTCTTAAAACAGGTTGATGGAAAACACTAAAGCAGCTCCGAGGGGAAGGGAGGCACCATCTCAAGATTGCTCAACGCAGGGGGAGGGATTCTCCAGCGTGTAGAATTGGCTCTTATGAACGTCATTGTGGTGGTGTGGTCACTTAGATGTGTCAAGACGCTTAAATTGCATGATGTAAAATATTTTGAATATTCAGTTTTTAAACTATTCGGTTTGACAGGCTTCTAGCAAATTACCCGAATCTGAGTTAAATGAGTTTTTGTTTCCCGGACTAAATGTTTTCCTTTACTTGATGTATCAGTATTGAGAGCAAACACGAAGTCACAATCTTAGGAGGACTCAATGAATTTGTTGTGAAGTTTTATGGACCACAAGGAAGTAAGTATATGACCCAACCCTTCTGTAAAAACAAACCGATGGCTCGCGGTGGGGAACGGTGAAGTGACACATTCTTCTGGAGTGGAAGAAGTGATGAGCAAATCTAAGTGGGGGTGAGGAATCAAAGGGCTGGCAGTGTTTGAAGGCTGCTCTCTCTCAAGGGCGGGGAGAAATAAGGACTGTGAGCATTAAAGCAGATGAACCACCTCCCTTGGAGCTGGGTGCTGCCCTCGGACAGCTCAGCCCTCTGCTATGGCCTTCAGCTCTGCTCTCGTTCATCCTTAGCTTTTCTAGGCCTGGCTCATGGGTTGTTGCATCAGTCATCTGAATTTTTGCCGAGTTTGTAATTAAGATGGCTTTTCTAGTGACTAGATCACAAGTCAGGTCTCTAGCCTGCCTTAATTTAGTAACATCTCTAAAGGTAAGTAGATTATTCTAAATTCTCTGTTTTTAATAAGGCTTTTGTGTCTTTGCGCTAAGATCTTCTGCAGTATTAGTTAAAATCATGTTATTTCTTGTCAGGCAGCACAGGAAAAAGCCTTTTACCGTAGGAGGTTTGATATGAAATCTTACCCCCTGATGGAGCTAAGTATTCTTCCAAAGATGTGTTTTGCTTAATGCTGTACTTCTATTTATTCTCGCCTGAGTTATGAAGTGTCTAATACCTGCGTTTCTTTCATTGCAGCACCCTATGAAGGTGGAGTATGGAAAGTTAGAGTCGACCTTCCTGATAAATACCCTTTCAAATCCCCGTCTATAGGTAACCAATAACCGCTTTTCAGTCAAAATCCTTTTACTGCTTATACAGGAGAGGTGTTACTGCTTGCAGCATTCTTGCAGGTGAAGTCGCTCCAACCCTCAGTGCAATCATAAGGTCTTTACTTCAATTTTGCAGAATGCTTTTGCCAGAGGTGTCCAGGTATCACGTGCCAAGCAGAGAGAGGAAGCTCTGTTTTTTTGGCTGAAGGGTTAGGAGCTGGAAATGTGATTTGGTCACATGTTTGTGTGTTGATGAACGGAATCCCTCTGCCATGTGCTTTTTTTTGTATAACGTAGCCATTTGTGGGTATGGTGCAGGATACCACAGTGAGTGCAGGAGCCTGTTTATATCAAATGACTCATGTGTTATGGAGAGCAAAGACCACAGTGCATGCTTGTAATCTTGGGGTGAACCTAGTTTTTGGGACCTCATGTCCCAAAAGCGGATGGAAGTGAAGGCAGGAGCTGAAACCTGTGTCCTCATGGAAGAGGTGATGCATATGTGGACGAACATAGAAGCAAGGACCTATCACCAGAAAAAAAAGCAGCTGGCTAAACTGGTCAGGCTTGTTAGACCTTCGAGAGCAAATAGGAAGTTTGATAAGGAAATGTTCTTTAGACTGTATCCATCTTTCCTTTGTCTTTGAGTAACGGTGATCTAACTCGGGTGTCTTCTGGTACCTGACTTTATTCCAGTCTCTTAAGCTATAAATAAAATAGCCAATACTGCTTGAAAAACTGGAGCAGATACATGAAGTTCCAACATTTCTCTTCTGGCTGATGAAATAAGTGCTGGGAACTGGGTGACGCAGCGCTTCTCTGTCAGAAGGGTGTGCTTGTGGCTCAAGCCACCGGGGGACTCTACAGAATGGAGAAAACAGCTTGAGGAGAACTAATGTGGAAACTTGACTGTATGGGTTGGACGAGATGAGTCCCTTCCAATATCAACATCCTGATTTGGAGTTGATAAGTATTGGTTGCTTTCTTAAAATAGACTCTTACGCTAACAGTGCCTTCTATTTAGGATGTCTCTCTCTCTCTCTCTGGTGCGAGAAATGATGTGTCGCTTTCCAAATGTGAACTGTGCCTTTTGGGAAAGGTTATTACGCCGTCCTTTTACCTTTTTTTTTTTTTATCCTGTTGAAACCTTAACTGAGCCACAGAAATCTTTTTTCCCCTGTTGAAACCTTAACTGAGCCACAGAAATGGGCACGCAGCTGAGTAACAGCGCAGTATTGCTGCAGCTACATGAACCCTCTTCTTCCTCTTGAGTCAGCTCTGAAACTTGCTGTAAACCTCTTTGGTTGCAGACTGTTTAGGAGATGCACATCATGTTATTTGGTGCCAGTCCTTTTTTCCCTCCCTGCTTCTCAAGTGCTACAAACTGATACAGATCGGGATACTGTCACATTGGCAAGCTTAAATTTGGGCTGGCTACAGGCAACTCTCATAAAGCACATAAACCCCAGTTTCCTGGTTCTTAATTGCTTTGATGCTGGTCTACTCGAAATTCTTTTTCTCTCTCTTCCCAGGCTGTATCAGGAATCAAGGTTTCTTGATTAAAGCAAAAAGGAATTTCTTTCTAGTAGCCAATGCAGGTAAACATTGGTCAGGCTCTTGTGTATTTGTAGCTTCCCAGTCTGTATCAGAAATCAAGGTTTCTTGCTTAAAGCAAAAAAGAATTTCTTTCCAGTAGCCAATGCAGGCAAACATTGGTCAGGCTCTTGTGTATTTGTAGCATTGCTGATTTGGTCTCTGGTTAGTTGCATGGAAGGTGGTAGGTTTGACCTTTTTGGTGGTTTGGCTTGGAGGCTATTGAGCACTGGTTGGGCTAAGTGGGAATTAAAGGCAGCCTGGGATGGGAGTTGGCCCAGCTGCATTTTCAGAACTGACACCACAAAGATGGCCTTTCTCCTTGTGAGCTTGGAGAAGAGTGGTGGGTAGGTGAGGAGGGGCTTCTTTTCTGCTCAAATTGCTCTGTCCCTTCTAATGTTTCTTTTGCTGTCTATCCTGTAGTACATAACAGCAGCTTTCCTGCTTTTGGCTTGCTTATACCCACAGTGTGGCAACTATCTTAGTACTGGACTCGTTGCACCTTCTGGCATCTCTGGCCCTATGAGTCTCTGTTTGAGCTGCTGAAAACCTCATCTTCTCTCCCTGAGCTCCCCAGAAGGCTGGCTCTTGCTCTAGGGCCTGGAAGCTGAATATGAGCCAGCAGTGTGCCCAGGTGGCCAAAAAGGCCAACAGCATTCCAACCTGTATCAGCAACAATGTGGTGAGTTGGACTAGGGCAGTGATCGTAACCCTGTACTGGGCACTGGTGAGGTGCCACCTCGAGTGCTGTGTCCAGTTTTGGGCTCCTCACTACAAATTAAAAAAAGACCTTGAGGTGCTGGAGCGTGTCCAGAAAAGGGCAACACTGGAGCACAAGGACAAGGTTCTGGAGAACTTCTGAGGAGCGGCTGAGGGAGCTGGGGGTGTTCAGCCTGGAGAAAAGGAGGCTGAGGGGAGACCTTCTCGCTCTCTCCAGCTCCCTGAAAGGAGGGTGTAGCCAGGGGGGGTTGGTCTCTTCCCCCAAGGAACAGGCAATAGGACAAGAGAAAATGGCTTCAAGTTGCACCAGGGGAGCTTTAGGATGGATATTTGGAAAAATGTTTACACGGAAAGGGTTCTTAAGCCTTGGAATAGGCTGCCCAGGGCAGTGATGGAGTCACCATCCCTGGAGGGATTTAAAAGCTGGACAAACGTAGGGCTTAGTGATATGGTTTAGTGATGTTTTTTGTCAGTGTTGTTTTGATGGTTGGACTCAATGCTCTGAAAGGTCCCTTCCAACCCAGGCAATTCTATGAGTATGATTCTAAGTGCAGGTGACCTCCTGGCTGAAGCTGAGGTTTTGGGTTGAATAATATGAGTCAATGGGAGGCAAGAGCTGGTTTGGCAAAGCTGGGTTCAGTGCAGCTGCAGGGAGGAAAGAGAATGGATGTGCCAAGAGGAGCTCTAGGACCCGGGGACCTCCCGACCCGGCCGCAGGAAGAGGTTTGTTTTTCTTTGTCTGGTTCCCATTTCTGCTGCCCCAGCCCAGCTTTATCTGGACAGCCAGGGGCTGAGTGACGTCTCCGTCCCTTCCTCTGGGCCAGCCCGATCTCCGCGTCGCTGCTCTTGGAGGCAGACTCTGTGCTGTGTCTGATACCAGTGGTTTTGGCATTACAGATAGCTCCAGAGCAGGCTTTTGTCCCAGCTGGACCAGCAGCTTTCACAAGCTTGTAAATGAGACAAGATCTGTTCTTTCTTGGCTGCATCCCCAGCAGCGTGGCCAGAAGGGTGAGGGGGGGGATTCTGCCCCTCTGCTCCACTCTAGGGAGACCTTCCTCCAGTGCTGCCTTCAGCTCTGGGGCCACCACCATCAGAAGGATGTGGACCTGTTGGATGGGGCCAGAGGAGGCCATGGAGATGCTGGGAGGGCTGGAGCCCCTCTGCTGGGAGGGGGGGCTGAGAGAGTTGGGGGGGTTCAGCCTGGAGAAGAGAAGCCTCCAGGGAGACCTTAGACCCCCTTCCAGGGACTCCAGGAAAGCTGAGGAGGGACTCTGGATGAGGGAGAGGAGTCATAGGAGGAGAGGGAAGGGTTTGACCCTGAAAGAGGGGAGATGGAGCTGAGCTGTGGGGAAGAACTTGTTTGGTGTGAGGGTGGTGAGAGCCTGGCCCAGGTTGGCCAGAGAAGCTGTGGCTGCCCCATCCCTGGAGGGGTTCAAGGCCAGGTTGGATGGGGCTTTGAGCAGCCTGATCTAGGTGAAGATATCCCTGCTCATCTTTGAAGTTTCCTTCCAACCCAAACTATTCTGTTATTCTCTGCCTGTTCCAGTGAGCACGGGTGTGCTAACCCAGCAGTCCTCAGCCAGTTTGAGCTCTGGATATCACAGGGGTAGGAATTAGTAGGGAAGAAATTTGCCATGGCAATTTCTGATCTGTAAAGAGGTGGAAGTGAAGGATTTCAGAGATGGTGGAGCCCATAAATGGACAGAAGGTCATCTAGAGCACACATATACCTTGTTTGCAGTCCTTCTGTTCTCAGCACTGCTTTGCTCCCACTGCGGTGGTGACATGCAGAGTTCAAATTGTCTGTGTAAGTCACTGCCTTGTATAAAGTATAGAATCCAACAGTTTCTTTTCCTTTAATAAATTACACTTTTATGCTGAAGCTTAAAGCCGAAATGCTGTCCTTGCAGTTTTCCTTGTTCCTCTCCTACTGTAGGCGCAAATTTTCTTTCTATCTTAGTAAATCTTAATGCAGTCTTGAACATGGCATGGGCTTTTTGCAGCAAATAACATGATGGCTCGAAGCATATCAATGCGTTCTAGAAAGCTGCTGCTGAAAAATGACTGCTAATAGTTGCTTTCTAATCTGTTCCAATTGCTTTTATCCCAGCATGGCTCTGAGTGTAAGGTACATGAAAACTTGGTATTCTCTTCTAAAGTGCTACTAAGAAACCTGAACAGAAAAGGCTTTTAAAGTGGGTTCCAAATTTGTCATGTGGAAAGGTGCAGACCTTTTATTAAACCCTAAAAGAGCAATGGTCCTCTTTGCCTTTAGGGTCTCTGGCAGAAGCCTTTGTTTTGTGTGGTTGCTCTTCTCCTGCCAAATATTTGCTCATTTGTCTCATCCACAGCTCCCTTCTCAAATACGCCTGGCATTTATTTCCTGCCCTTCTCAGGTTGGTAATTATTGCTGTAGTCTATTAAATGATGCTGCCCTGGGGACAGTGCTCTCCTGACAGCACAGGTAATGCCTCTGCTTAAAGACCTAGACTGGGATCTGTGTGAAAAGAGCAGTTCTTGGGAGAGCTTCCAGTGTTTCATCATGTCCTGCAGTACCTTTCTGGTATTTCTGGCACTGGAAACTCATGGTCTTTGCTGTGTAATCGGGCAGATCCCATCACAATCACAGAATGATATGGGGTTGGAAGGGACCTTAGAGATCATCTAGTCCAACCACCTGCCAGAGCA